CTGGGTTGCTCAGATGGTTAAACGTCTGCCTTCAGCTCAGGTCATGATCCTAGGGTCCTGGAATCGAGCCCTGCATTGGGCTCCTGGCTCAGCAGGGAGCCTGTTTCTGCCTCTCCCTCTGCTAATACTCTCTCTCTCTGTATCTCTCTGTCTCAAATGAATAAATACAATCTTTTAAAAAAATAAAATATTTTTATTCATTTATTTTTAGGTAATCTCTACACGCAACATGGGGCTCAAACTCATGACCCCAAGATCAAGAGTCACATGCTCTACGGACTGAGCCACCCAAGTGTCCCTTAACTTTGCTTGCAGCAAGAGTTCTTGTTAAAAAGTATTTATTTATTTATTTATTTATTTATTTATTTATTTATTGAGAGAACGAGAGGGGGAGGGGCAAAGGGAGAGAGAGAGAGAGAGAGAGAGCAAGAGAATCTCAAGCAGGCTCCCCACTCAGCACAGAGCCCAATGGGGCTTGATCTCAGGAGCCTGAGATCATGACCTGAGCCGAAATGAAGAGTCGGCCGCTTAACCCACTGAGTCGCCCAGGTGCCCCTGTGGCGAGACTTCTTAATGCACAAAATCCATGTACTCCTGTGAGATTTAGAAATTTAAAACAGAGCTGAGGCCATGTTCCTGCTCTCCTGATTGTGTTACGACAGGCTAGCAATTTTGTAGATTCTTTTCGGGCTAGCAATTCTGTAGATTCTTTTCTCTAGCAGAGTTCCAGCGGCAGCAGCATCAGTCTGCCTTCCTGCTCCCCATCAGCGGATGGCAATGTGCTCTTGTACTTACTACTTCCAGCCCTGGTCTCAGTGGGATGGTACTGGAGTCTTTTCGGAACCATTCCTGGGGGTCCAGCCTCCAGCCAATTTTTCTGGCCCTTCCATGATTTTGTCCTAATTATCTAGGGATCCTAAGTCCTCTCCTTTTTAACATGACTACCTTGCTTTCTCTTTCCTGCTCTGAACCCAGACTAATATAGGTCTTGGAAAATACAGTAGTCCCCCCACTTATCCACAGGGCATATGTTCCAAGACCCCCAGTGGATAGTACCAATCGTCCCAGTTCCTACACATACACACCTATGATAAAGTTAATGTGGAGATTAGGCACAGTAAGAGATCAACAACAATAATAAAATAGAACAATTATAACAATATATTAGTAAAAGTTTATATGAATGTGGTCTATTTCTCTCAAAATATCTTATTGTACTATACTCACGCTTTTTCTTTTGATGACATGGAATGATGAAATTCCTACGTGATGAGATGAAGTGAGGTGACTGACACAGGCATCATGACGTAGCGTTAGCCTACTACTGACCTTCTGATGAAACATCTGGACCACGGTTGACTGAGGGTAACTGAAACCACAGAAAGCAATGCTGCAGATAAGGGGGTTACTACTGTATTGCTCTGTCTAATATGAAAGGTATGTCCCCCCCACCAAACCTTGTCCTCTTCTAGTCCTCAGTTCAAGTGTCTTCCTAGGAAGCCTTCACCAGCCCCCTCAGTTGAGTCAAACACTTCTGCTTTTTGCCCCAGGCCTAACCTTAGGGTGGCACTTCTCACTATTGTATAATAATGGTTATATTTGCCTACTACTTGTCTCTAAAAGTTAACTAATCAAGCTACTTTTTGTTAGTCACTGGTTCCCAGGCAGGTGCACCATAAGGACTTGTGGAGTGAATGAATGAACAAATGGGAATTTCCATGAATAACAAGCAACAACAAGTAACCAACCCATAAAGGAGGAAACGCAGCGAAAAGAGAAGACATGTGTAGTTTTCTTGGTACCATGTGCAAGTATATGTAAAATAAGGCAGAACTGAAATGCCATGAGTCTACATATGTTTTCCTTAGACCCCTAACAAAGACACCCATATGGTCTGGACCAGGGATGGGCAACTTTTTCTGCAAAGGGACAGACAGTAAATATTTCAGGCTTTATGGGCCATATGATTTCTGTCACAATTACTCAACTCAGCTATTCTTGAGAGAAAGTGGGCATATATACAATCAGATAATATATAAAGAATGGGAGTGGTTGTGTTCCACTCAACTTTTATCTACGAACATTGAGCTGGGAATTTTATATAATTTTCACAGGTCACAAAATATTACTCTTTTGATTTTTCTCAACCATTAAAAATGTAAAAACCATATAAAAACAGGTTGTGGGGGAAAGAGGGGAAGGGAAAGCAGATTTGGCCTGTAGGCAGTGGTTTGCCAATCCCTAGTTTAGAAGATTAAGGAAAGGTCTGGGTTTACAGAGTGGAGTGACTTTGATTATTTTTAGTAGACTTTTGTGTGGATTTCAATTTCTTTCCATGTGAAAAGGAGGCTATAATACATTACTAATATAATTAACTCTGATATAAAAATAATAGTAAAAATAAAGGCTTGGAGACCTTGAGGACCGGCCTTTGTCACTTGTAGGTCTCTTTAGGTTTATAAATACTGAAATATTTTAAGTGTTCATTAGATAACATCTGATGGTAAGGCCCTGAAATTCTGTGTATATGGCAAAATGCTGATGAGCAGGGGGGCCTGGCTGGCTTAGTAGGTACAGCATGCAACTCTTGGTCTCCGTGTCGTGAGTCCAAGCCCTACACTGGGAGTAGAGGTTACTTAAAAAAATAAATAAATCAAATAAATGTAGGATCTCTTAAAAAAAATGCTGATGAGCACTATGTAGTAAGAGAGCATTCTCCCCTTCATTTATACCATGAAAGGTAACGAGGCACAAATAATATGAGGAAGATTACCACTCCATTTTTGTTCCCATCCAAAAATGGACAAATCACTTTAATTGTAGTTTTCAATAAAGCAGATGTCAAGAGATTAGAGGCCCACACATTATACCTGCTTTAGTCTCTAGGAGAGAAATTTTCTTGGAGCTTTTCAAAGACTCATGGAATTAGAGAGGTAGAAGGGATACCTCTTCCTCTCACCCGCAATTCACACATGAGAAAGTCTTGGACATAGAACCGTGGGATGATGGTTAGTGGCAGGGCTGGGGCAGACCCTGGATTCCGAATCCCACTGCAGGGCTCTTCCTACTTTATCAGGCTTCAGGAAAAATTATCTGCTTTGTTTTCATAGAAATTGTCTAAAGTTAAATCCAATCATGGGTTTAAAATTAAGTCACGTTTCCCTGAGTGGCAAAGGATTTCTGTTATATAAAACACAGAGATATAGCACAAGAAGCCCTAATTTCTCATCTTTTATGGATATTATTTCCCATCCCCAAGGTCCTGAGACATGAAACTAAAGGGAGCAAAGGATGAAGATTCTATGATCTTAGACACAACAGGTGACTCAGGTCAAAAAGAAAACACGTAAAAACAGCTCTTGCCACCTAATGGGCAAGCATCACTGAGTCCCTTCTGCTGCTTTTCTGCTGCATTTGAAAAATTCAAGAATGAGGCTCCGCTTCCTTTAGGCATTCCAGCCTCTCACTTTTGCCTAAAGTTTCCCAAGGATAGTGAACTCTGTACGACTTTGAAGAAAGGCATTTCCCACTCCCTCTGTGTTAAAACAATAGAGTGAGCCCTGATCATCTCGTTTCAAATCGGAACACCTCTACCCCCACACGCAGTCTCCATTTCCATTCTCTCTTTTCCCATAACACACATCCTGTTGCCTTACTTTGCTTAATGTCTATTGTATTGCTCCCCTCGATTAGAATGTAAGCTCCACGATGGCAAGGATTTTTATCTGTTTTGTTCTGATTTAAATAGCACCTAGAATAATGCCTTGCACATAGCGCACACTCAGAAAATATTTGTTGAATAAATGAAATCGAGAAAATGAAGAATAGGGAGTTAGGCACATCTTGACGTAACACATGGTTACATGTACAAAAGGCTTGGACAAGATGCACAGCAAAGATGGGAACAACAGAATCATGAGAAGAGGAAAGAACACTGAGTGAGAACTACTGGACGCCCGGCATAACACCGAGAGCTCTCTATCCATCGTCCTACGCTTTTCACCACAGCTCCTATCGTCCTACCTTCCAGCTGATGAGCCTGAAGCTAGAGAACTTGTCTGGGTTCACACATCTGGTGAGGGGGGGCAGGGGCTCAAAAGCCCACATCTGACTCCAAAGCCCATATGTGTAACCACTGCTTTGTGTAGACGGTGTAATTCCATTCGTGTGAACGGGAGTGTGGGTGGGACCATCTCAGCACATGGCCCTGATTTTATTAAAGTGGCTAAATGGACAGGTCTTGTACTGATTCAAGTTGAAGAGATTTTGCTTTTCTGAGTTGCAATCTCCAAATACACCACATAAAGAATGTCTACTTCAGGGGCACCTGCCTGGCTCATTCAGTAGAGCATGGGAATCTTGATCTCAGGGTTGTAAGTCCAAGTCCCACACTGGGTGTAGACATTATTTAAAAATAAAATCTTAAAAAAAAGAATGTCTATTTGCAATAAAGCTAAGAGGACCGCCTAAAAATATTTCCAATCAAAAGTAAATTACCATTGCTTCACCAACCAATCAATCACTGAAACCATAGAACTTCAAATATCAAAATTTGTCATGTCTGGGCAGTAGAAAATGGCGCAGCAAGCTCAGTACTCCCAGATTCAGCATACTGGGGACAGCAGGCATCAGATTTGCCTCCATGGCTCATGCGTCTCTTTGTAACTATGTAGGTCAGGTAATATAAAGGTGGGGATTTCTCCCCTGGCTTCATAGGTATCTTTTCCTTCTTTTCCCTACCCTGTAACTCACTTTGACACTTTTACATGCATTTCCTTTTCTTTTTTTTTTTTTTTTTTAAGATTTTATTCATTTATCTGACACAGAGAGACATAGCGAGAGAGGGAACACAAGCAGGGGGAGTGGGAGAGGGAGAAGCAGGCCCCCCGCCGAGCAGGGAGCCCGATGCAGGGCTTGATCCCAGGACCCTGGGATCATGACCCGAGCCGAAGGCAGACACCCAACGACTGAGCCACCCAGGCGCCCCTCAGTATTTCCTTTTCTATTTACAAACTGGAACATGAAAATATAATTTTTACCGCCTTTGCGACGAACAAATTTCTTCTAGAAGCAGAGTGAGATAGCAATCACAGGTATCTGGCCTGATGTAATCAAAATGGATCTGGAGTAGTGATCAGGACAGAAGGCTCAGGGATAGGTCGGTTGGGGATATCATGAGAATATAAGGAATATATGAGACTTGAAGGACTGGGGAAAGAAAGGCCAGATTTAGCGAGTTCAACCATGGAGAAGCTTGTATAAACCAGGGGTTCTCTGTGGACCCTAGTCATACATCTATTCACATTTGCCCCACGCCAGGCCCTACCACAGTAACAAGGATAAGGTAATGGTTTAGCTGTTACCACCACAAGCAGGGAAAGAAAATTATTTCTGCGACCACGAGAGAAAGTAAATCATTATTAATCAAATGGTTTGGAATGGTTGTTAAGACATAGAGAACAAAAGGTTTTATGTCCCGTGAGGATGTTAGGGTGTGTCCCACAAAAATGTCTCACCCAAGTAACCATTTAAATAATAAGCACAACCTGACAGAAGGAGCATCAGGGTATAGCTCATATGTGTGTGGTCTAGTCCTTCTTAAGCTTAGGTGTTGATACAACACCTGGGTTGGTATATTTATTTCAAATTCAGAGACTTCTTCACAGGTCAGGGCCAGGAATCTGAATTTTAAACAAGTCACATGAGCGATTCTGATGAACCGCATTTTGAAAAAGGCTATCATCAGACTGCCGAGTGCTAAGGGTGCAGTGGTGACTTAGAGCTAAAAATGAACTCTTGTTCTCTACTGATACATATTAAGAAACCTCAACAATTCAAGTCAGGAGTGCATAAATACTCTGAAATTCTCCCGTGTTACCTAAATAATTATGAACACCACTACATTTTGTTTTTGTTTTTTTTTAAAGATTTTATTTATTTATTTGACACACAGAGAGAGCGAGAGAGAGAGAGAGAGAGAGGGAGAGAGCACAAGCAGGGGCAACGGCAGGCAGAGGGAGAAGCAGGCTTCCTGCATGAGTAGGCAGCCCGATGTGGGGCTCGATCCCAGGACCCGGGGATCATGACCTGAGCTGAAGGCAGTGGTTTAACCAACTGAGCCACCCAGGCGCCCCACCACTACCTTTTGTAAAAAAAAAAAAAAAAAGAAAAAAAGAAAAGAAAAGAAGGAAATATTTAGTTCTTTCCATCTATTGCAATTATTGTGCCACCATATGAAATTTTAGCAATCTTCAAAGAATAGCCCACCCAAATTTCTCAAGGATTTCAATTATCATCCCTGGAAAATAAAATTTCAATTTATTTTCCAGGGTTCCATACCACTGGGCACAAAACATTATCTAACAAGCCTTACTTAAAATAAGAGCTATTTATTGTCTGGGACCATTTTTACACATAGCATCTTGTTTAATTCCCACAACAAACCTTAGAGGTAGGAACCATGCTAATCCCCACCTTACAGTTTAGGAAACTGAGGCTTCAGGCTTGGCAGGTTTAAGAAGTTTGTCCAAGGTCATGCAACTAGTAAATAGAGCTAGTGTTTGAATTCAGATCTTTCTGACTCCAGAAGCACCAGCTCTTAAGCTCTGAGCAATTCTGCCTCCACTGGGAGCCTTAGTTCACACACACCCTATGAACATGCACAGATAAAGCAAATATCAATACAAATTGCAAAGCTTACTGAGGATACACAATCCCAGTAGAGTAACAGGTCTATTCCATAAGAAATGACATAAAATCAAAATGTAATTATGCCTCTCTAAAATATAAATAAAAACTAAAATCTACATCAATATCCAGTGTTTGTCATTTTTACTGAACATGATTTAACTATGGAAATAGTTATTCTTGTTGCCAGCACATAAACTTTCTTTTTGTTCATTGTAGCTGCCACCTGAAATCTCCTGTGTGTAGTATTTCCTGACATAGCTTCTTTTTTTTTTTAGATTTTATTTATTTATTTGAGAGAGATAATGAGAGAGAGAGAGAGAGAGAGAGAGCACATGAGAGGGGGGAGGGTCAGAGGGAGAAGCAGACTCCCCGCTGACCAGGGAGCCCGATGCGGGACCTGATCCCGGGACTCCAGGATCATGACCTGAGCCGAAGGCAGTCACTTAACCAACTGAGCCACCCAGGTGCCCCACATATCTTCTTATAATTACTAATACTAAACTTTTTTTTTCCTGAGTATTCCTAATACCTTTAGCCTTTTACTGAAATTTCTGAAGCAAACACAATTACCTCTCCCAACCACTCACTATTACACACAAACCCTAGAGTTTAAAAAGAATAATACTGACTACAAAAATTCATAAAAAAGACATGTCCCACATCTGGCATTTTACTTAGAATATAAAGCCATTTTAAGAATCTTAAAGATCTCATAAGCCAGGCTTTTTCCTTACCTGACTAAAGAAAACCTCTTTACTCTTTAAAACAGCTAAACCTTGGGCAGCCTCTGGTCCTGCAATTGCTCCTCCATGTTTAGATTCTTCCAGCATTGCAAGCTAGCTTGTTCTGCCTCTATTCCTGAATCTGAGCAACATTTTTATTTTACGTTGTATATCACATCTGTCTCCACTGCTAGACCACAAGCTCCATTAGCACAGGAACCACATCTGTTTGGTGTCTCTTGCAATAACCACAGTACCTGGCACAGAGAAGTCACTTCATAAATGTTGTTGAATGAATGAATGATTGGCTCCCTGAAACCAGTGGCTCCTAGAGCTTCGTTCTTTTTTCCAGCCTCACCGGGATAATAGTTGAGCTTGACTGAATGCCTCTTTCTTCTTTACTTCACGCAGGATTGAAAAGCCATGATTTCTCAGATGACCACCAAGACCTTGGACCAACTCTTCTCCATTCATCATTTTGAGATAGCTTTCCAAATGGTAGCTCTCCTTCTCGGGGAGTGCTAGAGACCACTCCAGTTTGTGAAGGCTGGGAGAGCAGATACAGCCCCCAACTTAGGAAGGGAAGCCTTGATGGAGTGGTGGAGGATGAAAAAGTGAAGACTCTTCTCTGCCTGGTTTTCTCCTCTGAACTCTGGAGAGAAGGAACTCTGGGACTCTGCTCAGCAATTAAGGTTTGATAGGGAGGACACACATTGCCTAAGTCAGGACGCCCGAAGGAGGCCTTGTTCTTGCTGCAGCCACGGCCTTGGTGATGTCTACAGTGGCTGGGCACTTAGAGGGCAGAGAGACCCTTACCACTCTGACTGATGTTAGGGACCCAAGTGTTGTTAAAGTGGCTTTATTCCTCTAATCCAGAATTATCTCCTTAGGGAAAGGTTTTCTTGGTATTTATGTCCTCCCCTTCTCCAACCCTGACTCAGGTCACATCGGAATGTAAAGTCAGAGCCAAGGGTTGGTGGCATCTGAAGTCATCCCAGCATAACTTCTCTTAGAATTGAGTCTTTCTTCTTTCCCTTCCCTTCCCATTTCTTTCCTCCTTTCCTTTCTTCCCTCCCTCCCTCCTTCTTTATGGTGACAAGCAAAGTTACTCATTTTAGTTTTTCTCCTCTTGAATGGCACTGGCCAAAGGTCAGTACTTTATTTATTATTATTTTTTTAAGATTACGTTTATTTATTTGAGAGAGAGAGAGAGAGCACGAGCAGGGCAGAGAGGAGCAGAGGGAGAGAGAGAAGCAGGCTCCCCACTGAGCAGGGAGCCCGACATGAGAGGCTCTCTCCCAGAGCCCAGGCCCCCAGGATCATGACCCGAGCCCAAGGCAGATGCTTAACCAACTGAGCCACCCAGGTGCCCAAAGGTCAGTACTTTAACAAAGTTATAACAGCCCATCTGGAATTTGGAAAGAGAACTTCAGCAGTTCAACGGATTAGAAAGTTTGTTTTTAAACGAGGAAGAAGACGGTACTGCAAGAGAAAGTGTCAAATGACAGAACAGGAAACCGCCCCTTTCCGAATAGGTGAGTACTCCTAAGACCTGGACTCAATTCTTCCACAGTAAAGGGACTTCAGCCTAATTTCAGGCAATGTATTTAATGCCTCCTCTTGTTCTTTTTAAAGCCGTCCTTTCTGGGAGGCCAACCTCAATCTATTTTTTTTTTTTTTTTCAGTCGCCCACAGATGGTGAAGGTGAGCCTAGAGGTGAATTCATACAAAAACCATCATTTGACACAACCCTCCCCTTCCCTTCATTTTTATCTCCTTTACCCCAAAACATCATTGTTTTAGTTAACTTCTCAATTGTACACGTCTCCTGTCTATCCCACTGCACCCCAGGAGAAAGCATTCTCTCTGCCTGCAGTTCCCGCATGGCAACTGTACCTCCAGACAATGGCCCTGGCCTAACGCCTACCTCCAAGCCCTGAAAACTCCACTTCACCGGGGGCTTAAATTATCCCTTTCTGTGGTCGTTCCTTGTTGTAACCTTACCTGTGTAGGGATTCTAATAAATCCTCCTTCTCTTCAGCTAGTTGGACTAGATTGCTGTAGAATGTGATAGAAAGCAAGAGATAAGTTAAAAAAAATTTAAGAGACCACGTAGGCACTCTAGATGAGCTGAGATATCCCAGATCTATTTGAATAATACCAGAGAGTCTGGGGAAAGCGTGCAGTTAAATTTGGACTGTTGAAGGCCAAAGGACATCCTTTCTGGAATGAATCAAGGAATAGAACAAATAAATATATAAAGAAATAATTTACTTCTGAACATATGTGGGTATAAAAGCCGGGCCATAAACATTCTGAATAATTGCTGTTAAATTTCTTAGGATTGGGAGGGAAAAGGTGGATTCTGCAAATTATAGGTAGTAAATGAGACGTCAAGCCTACATAAGACTCTAGAAGGTGCTATGGAGTCGAATACCCCCTTTATCCTCCCATTCCAGTGTTTACTTGAGAAAACTATTTCTGTCCACAAGCACCAAAAGAGCAGCCCTCCAAAATAGGTGAATCCTTGCCCCTCACCTGATGAGTGATAGTAATGAAGGCGATATGCTTTTGTTTCCATGCCTGGTTATTCTTACTCTC